TGTCAAATAGTTATGTTTACTTGTTAGTTATAAAAACAAAATATATCATGAGTCCATGAAATGAATTCCATGCATTTTGAAATCCCAATGAAAAAATCTTAAGGGCATTATGCGAACAAAAATTGATTCACTTTTCTTTTGTTTGACAGGCTCTCTTATTATGTCTACTGAACATAAGAGACTCTTCTCTTCATGTAGCCCAATTTCTAATGAAGGTCCCCTCCTTTTCCCTTAACATCAGGAGCAAGATAGCACATCCCTTGATTGAAGTTATGTCATGATAGAGCAAGGAAGCCCTTCAATTACTCAGTGTTCATTCAGAAATACAACTCCCATGAAATAGATTGCCAAGAAGATGGTGTGCTCTCAATGCTGCTGAAAACCTATATTCTTCACATTCTAAGTTTCTATTGGTCTTGCAGTATATATTCTTGTAAAAGTTGAGTTTTTCAGTAGATATTGTATGCAATAACTTCCCTTCTTTCTCGAGTAAAATTCTAGCTGTTTAGGATTGCATTAGGGTGTCAAGGCCTTAAATGGCATCACTGCTGTAGATAGCTTACTGATGTCATCCTTGCGGATAATAAAAACTTGATTACCTTGTTAATTAAACTTCAAATTTGTGTCCAGATTTTTATATGCTGTGATTTTCTTACCTCATCTCCTCTTCATCTTCAAGCACTTCTCTTGTATAAATAATTTTTCCAGAAGAACTTTATTTTAAAAATAATATTTTATTGATTTCAACTTCGCTATGAAACTCTGTTACAAATGAGATATTCACAGCATGCAACTATGTGTATATGTACTTGCGATTCTAGCAAAATTCAAGACCGTAGTATTAATAATGAAGTGATTCATTCAGAGCAGAGTAATTAGTTGTTTCAAACGATTTAGCTACTCCTCATATATATTTATTTTTCATTTATATCTTTAAGAAAATTCATTCAGAATTTGCCTAAATTCTCATTCGCCTAAGTCAACCGGTGGGTACGTGTCTATACTAGCATTTATTGATTCTGGTTTTCGACCACGACTGTGACAAATGTTTTATTTGGGCATGAATTCCTCTTCTTATTAGTAGCACTCTCAAGCTTCCTTGGAAACATGAACATTGGAAAAAGGCATAAAACAATGACTTGGCACGTGACCCTAATACAGGTTATGTTTCCTATGGTTTAAGTAAGATTTCTCAAGGCCTTGATGGATTTCATTCAAACGATAAAATCTTTACCATCAAAGAGATATAATCTAAGCTGTGGGGAGTGGAACCAGTTGGTGGAGTTGTTAAAATTTGAGAAGTTTAAAATGAAATAGCAGTTTTGACAACGGATGAGATGAGGACTTCAATTGATTTTTATTTTTTATACAGTGATAAAATTCCAATATAAGGCCAATACAACTAGAGATTTTGAATATTAAGAATTACATTATCACTAAATGCTGATGCTGTATACCAAAAATCTACAGGTACTTGTGATAGCATAATATCACATAATTATCTATTGAATATGAATTTCCTGTTCTATTGCGTTTTCCTATCTCATGATAGTCCTAGTAGATTTCAACTGTCTGTCATAACTAGGAATTTAGTTAAGACTACAATGACCAAGAAAATTCTGCAAAGTAGCCTTGCTTGCACTGAGAACTACCCATTTTTCAACTTTGAAGAACTCTGTCTCCCAAATGCCCCATGCCTCACCTGCCGGTAACTGAGTCAGACAGAACTTCAATCAAGGTTTGCCCATATAAACTTTGCTCTCTTAATGGTCATCCGCATGCTCCTTTGCCTCCACTGAAGAGCTTCTTGTGGGAAAGAAGAAGTAATTTTTAAGGCCCAGAAGAGCATGAACATGAAGCAAGAAGAACTAAGCCTTCAAAGATTAAAGGTGCCCTTCAAAACAAAATTTCTGATATTGAGTAGATTGTTAATGACGGCAATTCTGCATGTGATGATGCAGTAGTGGATTTTATCGAAATATCTTCGCCAATGTAGAGAACATGAAGCAAAACCAACAGCAACAGGTCATGGACATGAAATGAGAAAAGTAGAATCCTCTGAAGAGCTTCAGGATCAATAAGTTATCAGGTTTATAATTGAGGAGAATAGCTGGGCTTCAGGAGAGGATCTATGTCTGGTGAGTCCCCTGAGCTTGATTCAAATTCCAAAAAAGGTTATAATTAAATAATATTTGACAATGCACATATTAACATGCCCTGACTTCTCTGCCTAAGCCTGTCACAAAAACAAGAGGCCACTTGTTTTCATATACTTGTTGCCATGCATGATGGGTTAAATCTTAAAACCTGGAAGGCTAAGGAAATGAAGGTGACAACAGGATCTCCATTTGCATTGAACACAGGCTACCAGAATTATTTTGATGCTTTTATACAAAACAAGTCTAACTACGGTTTACAGGAAGACCTCAATGTGCAAGAAAGGGCAATAAATCAAGTTCGTCCCTATCTTCATGGTAATATTTGTTGCCTTGCAGAAGAGAATTTAAACAGATTTTTTTTGTATATAGACACCTTCTCTGTTGTATATATATTTAAACAGAATTTAAACAGTATTTCTCTCTTGTTTCATAGTTGTGAGGTTCCAGAGAAAGGGAAATCGGTGTATTGTTCATTTGTATCACTGTCATTTAGATGCACTTAATAAATACTGTTAACCCACATCTGTACAAAAGCCACAGCTGATACTTGCAACTACTCTTGACTATACATAACTACTTCTGCCATCTACTCACTATAATGGTTTTGGTGCTGTTATGGAAGTGAAATAATATCTTCTACATTTAAGAAATAAGTCTCACTGGTGTAATGTGACTGTGTGATTTACCCCACTTAATAAAATAAGACTTGTTATTGTTGCTTGCAACTTGTAAATAACGTAGCTTACTATAAATTTTTATTTGATTTTGGTTATGACTGATGATTCATCTTATTAGCACAAAGAAGAATGGAAAGTTGATGCCACCACGCTTGGTTCTTGAAAAAATAGTATTATGAATATGGTTCATTTGGAACTTGCAAATGCCTGTTAGGACTGTTAGTTTCACACTTCAAATCCATAGAAGGTTTTGATATGTGTGCGCGTGTGTATTGGAAGATCAAAGTTTGCCCCCAAGACAAATGTATAGCCTTCTATTTGGACGGCCGTTTTTAAGAGTAAGACCATCTATTCTAAAACTCTTGGCGCCAATAAGAAGAAGAAACATGGCTTACATATGTTTGAGGCTTAATTGAAGGCTTGTAATTTTGTGCTTCATAAAAATGACATGACATTTAAAAAACGCTGCATTTTGGTAGCCCTCATCCCTTGGATGAGTGTGAAACTCGTATAGCCTTTGAGGTGACATGAATTTGATTAACCATCCAATAAAAAAAAACTTGAAATTAGTAAATTTTAAATGAGGAATTATAATAAAAATGTGTTCTTATTTGCGAGTTTTATGTTATCAAAACTTATTAAGATATTTTTACCAAATTTGATTTGTGATTTAGTAATTTCAAATTTCTGTTTATAGGATTCTTCCTTATACATAAATTAAAAATACTATAATTTATTTTTCAAGCAAGAGAGATCAAATAACCGTATAACTTTTTTAAAAAAATATTTATGAATAATTTATGGAAAGATATAATTAATTGAATCATAATGTTTCTATACATAAGTTCATGTGTAAAAGTAATGTATTACACTCTGATAGTCAATAAAAGTTAGTTTAATTATTAAAGATGTATCTTTTATCTTATGAGAATGTAGTGAGTTTTCAAAATTCAACTCATCTAAAACATTTTACATAAAAATTACATTGTTATGAAAGCATACATATGCTCTATTTTAATTATCTATAATCCTTTTTTAAATTTGTAAACATATACATTAACATCTATTGCTATAAAAATGAATCAGAATCCCATTATTTCTTAACCACAATATCTTCATATTTAGCATTTATTTAATATGAGAAATATCAAATATTCAGTTCATTAATATAAAATAAAACAAATATTTTGGCCGACCAAATGAAAAAAAATTAATTATATCTTATAATTAGAATTGGAGGTAGTATTTCCGTGAAATTTTAACCTCAATTTTTTTTTTTGGCATAGATGTTTATATAAGAGGCGGAGCACAATGCGCAGTCATTTTGAGCTTCACCACAACAATGATTACTCCTTCAATTCTAAATATAGAATATATTTTATAGTGTAAATTATATTATGAAATGAGTTATATGTTTAGAACCGAACGTGTAATAAACACTCATTTTTTGACCAGTAATACGCAGCGTTTTTTTTTTGGGTCAAAGACGAGGAATACACAGTCTAAACACACTTTATAATGTCAAAGAAATAAAACAATGCAATGAATTTGATAGTTTGAATTTTTTTTTATTCCTGACCTGACGTTGGCAGTCGGACCGGGGAACCTAAAAGTCTTCATTTTGATCGATATTGTCTGGCGCGGTTGACGGTTATGGCTGAAAGCTTAACGCATTTTCTTGCTTCACTCACCAAACCCACAAAGTCACGCCTTCCTTGCATTGCAATAACCTTTCCCACTTCTGCATCTTCATCTCGTTCTTTTCGTTTTGCATTTGCACAAGCAGAACAACTTCATCTATGGCGGGAGCTTTGGTTGGTGGTGCTTTTCTTTCTGCTTTTCTTCAGGTGGCTTTCGATCGGCTCGCTTCTCGGCATGTTCTGGACTTCTTCAAAAAACCAAAATTGAACCAGACATTGCTCAGTAAGCTGAAGATCGTGCTGTTATCCATCGACGCTGTGGTTGACGATGCAGAGCAAAAGCAGATCACTAATCTGAAGGTGGAGGAGTGGATTGATTTGGTCAAAGATGCTGTGTTCGATGCTGAGGATGTCTTGGATGAGATAGATTATGAAATGTCCAAACGCAAGCTGGCAGCTGAACAAGAGAGTCAAACCAGTGTTATTGGCAAGGTACGAAACTTCTTTAGTGCTCCCGTTTGTTCATTTGAGAAGGAAATTGAATCCAGAACCAAAAATGTCCTTGAAAATCTAGAATATCTTGCATCTCAAAGACATATATTAAGATTGAATGAACGTGATAGTGGTGCTGGATTGAGAAGTGTTATAGCAGATAGATTGCCAACTACATCTTTAGTGAATCCACATGGAACATACGGCAGAGATGACGAAAAAAATACCATCATTGAATGGCTGCTGTCAGAAAAGTATAAGAACCAATTATCTGTTATTTCTATCGTGGGTATGGGTGGTCTGGGTAAAACTACTCTTGCCCAGCTGGCATACAATGATAGCAGGGTGATGGATAGATTCAACCTCAAAACATGGGTATGTGTCTCTGATGAGTTCGATGTGTTGAGGGTAACCAGGACAATTTATGAGACAATCACTGGATCAAAGGATGATACCAATGATTTTAATATGCTTCAAATTAAATTGAAACAACAACTAACCCAAAAGAGATTTCTCCTTGTATTAGACGACGTATGGAATGAAGATTGTCTGCGATGGGAGGCCTTGCAGTTACCATTCAATCATGGGGCTCTAGGAAGCAAAATTCTTCTTACCACTCGCAGTGGAAAAGTTGCTTCAACCATGCGTTCCGCTAAGATACTGTCATTGAAGCCCTTATCAGAAGGAGATAGTTGGTCATTATTTAGCAAATATGCCTTCCATGACGGAAATGTTCTTTATTCAAACACTGACCTTGAAGAAATTGGTAGAAAAATCAGTAAAAAATGCAAAGGGTTGCCTTTAGCTCTTAAAGCCATTGGGAGTCTCTTATACACAGAATTATCTCATGAGCAATGGAATGGCATTTTGAAAAGTGAGATATGGGAGGAAAAAAGCAATAGCAAAATTCTCCCTGCTTTGAGATTGAGTTATTGCCACCTCCCCAATCATCTCAAAAGATGCTTTGCTTATTGTTCAATATTTCCCAAGGATTATGATTTTGATAAGGAGCATTTAATTCAATTGTGGATGGCGGAAAATTTTCTGACTTGTGCTCATCAAAGCAAAGACGAGAGAGAAGTGGGAGAACAATTCTTTCATGACCTATTGTTGAGGTCACTGTTTCAATCATCAGCAGTAGATGAAACACGTTTTATCATGCATGACCTTATTAATGATATGGCAAAAGCTGAGTATGTAAAGTTTTGCCATAGGCTGGAGGTAGATGATCTAAATAATTTGACAAAAACGACCCGCCATGTTTCATTTTTCAGAAATAATTCTGATACATCCAAACGATTTGAAGTTATATACCAGGCTGATAAATTGCGCACATTCTTGCCTCTACCCATGCAAGGTCATAGAAGTACGAGTTATACCTCTATCCTTCACTTTATGTCGAGCAAGGTTATTCACAATTTGCCATCCAAGTTTGTCTACATGCGAGTTTTATCTCTATGCAATCATTTCATCATGCAGTTGCCTGAATCAGTAGGAAATCTCAAACATCTACGTTATTTGGACTTATCAGGAACTAAAATAAGAAAATTGCCTGATTCAATATGTCAACTTCATCATTTGCAAACACTAAAGTTGCGGCGTTGTCGTCTTTTGGAAAAATTGCCAATGGATTTTCATAAACTTATGAATCTGCGTCACCTTGATTTCCGTGAAACTCAGGTAAGAGAGATGCCGAAGCAATTGGATACATTGAAAAATCTTCAAGTTCTGTCACCATTTATTATAGACAAATCTGGAGAGACCAACATCAAACATTTAGAAGGACTTAATCTTCATGGATCAGTTTCCATCTTGGAATTGCAAAATGTAGTTTCTCCCTCACGTGCTTTAGCAGTCAATTTGAGAAGCAAGATACACCTTAAGGAGTTAACATTAGAATGGTGCATAGACAATGAAAAATCACTACATGACAAGGATGTGCTGGAGAACTTCCAACCTCATAAAAATTTAAAAAAGCTATCAATTGGCAATTATGGTGGTATCGGGTTTCCAAATTGGCTTGCGGATCATTCATTGTCCAATATAGTGTCCCTAGAACTAAGGAATTGCAAATACTGTATATCCTTGCCATCACTTGGCCTCTTTCCATCTCTCAAGTCATTGTCAATTATAGGGTTTCATAGTATAGCAGCTATTGGTCCAGAATTTTGTGGAAATAGCTCTAATGCTTCATCCCTAGAAATCTTGAGGTTTGGAGATATGAAGGGCTGGGAAGAATGGAAATGTGAAATTTTGTCTCTTACTTTCCCTCATCTTCAAGAGTTGAGTATAAAAAATTGTCCCAAATTGAAAGGGCAACTTCCTCAACAACTTCCTTCCTTAAGGATTCTAGTAATTTCCAATTGTGGGAAGCTTTTGTCATCAATTCCATTTGCTCCATGTCTTGATAAGTTGGTTCTAAGAGATTGCGGAAATGAGCAGTTGGAAAGTCTTCCATCAACTCTAAAGTTCCTTGACATTTCTGGACACTTCGAAAAATTATTAGCAGGTGACAAAATTGAGAATATCATTACCAGTTGTAGTCTTGAAGAGTTGAAGTTTTCCAATTGTCCTCACCTACAATTTCCGTTATGCAATTGTCATAACTTCATTCTTGAAATGGAGATAAGAGGAAGCTGTGACTCTTTGAAATCTTTTCCACTAGGTTTATTCCCAAAGCTTCAATCTTTGAAGTTGATTGACTGTAATAATCTTGAAATGATATCTGTTTCACAGGGGCATCATTTTTCTCTTACAAGCTTTTACATACGAAGGTGTCCTAGATTTGCATATTTTCCTGAAGGAGGGTTTTCGGCTCCCAATCTAGAATTTTGTTGCATTGAAGAATTGAAGAATTTGAAATCGCTCCCAGAGAATATGCACATTCTCTTTCCCTCCCTCTCATATCTGTTAATAAAATGCTGCCCACAAGTGGAATCATTTCCAGAGGGAGGTTTCCCATCAAATCTCAAATATCTTGATGTCTTGGAATGCTCGAAACTCATAGCCTCTCGAATGGGATGGCATCTGAGTAGCCTTACTTCACTAGTATACTTTGGGATTGGTGATGCAGATGATGAGTCTCTTCCTAATATTGGACTACTTCCGCCAACTATTAATTCCCTTGTGTTCTATAACTGCTCAAATCTTAGATCTTTGCAACACAAAGGTCTTTGTCACTTATCCTCTTTGGAAGTCTTGGGGTTTTTTGGCTGTCCTGAGCTCCAATACTTTCCAAAGGAGGGTTTGCCTAGTTCCCTTTGTAGACTATGGATTATGGGCTGTCCCTTGCTCAAAAAGCGGATCCAAAAACAAAAAGGAAAATTTTGGGCAAAGATTTCTCAAATTCCTTTTGTTAGCATTGAGGATGATGTGGTATCTTTAAGTGAGCTTCTCACTCATGAGGGCATCAGTTTTCCTACTATCCATTCACTCATTAGGTACATATTAACTCCTCTTTCAATTTCAAATCGAGAACTTATTTTCCTTTCTTTTGGCTACTTGTCTTAGATTGAAAGATTTGCTTGTTTATTTGAATGTCAAATCACACATGCACCAAGAGGAAAAATTCATTTTATAATTTGTTGAAAAAGAAATAATATCATTTGCTTATTCTGTATATCCTTGTTGAGTTATGATATGAAATCTTTCTAGTCATTATATCTCATGAATTTTTGTCAGCCAAACTCATATATACTCAATTTCTCAGTATGCTTATTTTGTTGGAATTTCAAATCATAAAAATGTCTTTATATTAACAACGATTTATCTATAAATAGACTTGTTTATTTAAAATTTTCATTTTTGTAGCTATCAATGATAGCAAAGCTGCATAAAATGAACACAGTTTTTTTAAAAAAAACAAGCAGCTCGTTTTTCGCCTGTCATACGCTTAAAATTCTAAGTAGGAAACAATTGGTTCCATGTCATGCATTAGAGAAGTTCGGCTTAGAATTGAATAAAAAAAAAATTAATGTGGTTTACTTATTGCGTATATTATCTTGCTGTGTCAAAATATGCCATTTTTTTAGTTTGCTAAAAGCAGATAAAAAAATTGCAATTCTAATTCCAGTTTCAGGCTAAGAAGAATTTAGTATTTGTGGAAGAGATTTTGTCCTTACATATTATGAATTCTTTTTAACCAAGCTCAATTTAACTCACCTATTTAATAGGAGTGATTATGATGTAGTTCATGAGCTTTGGTTGATGAAGTTGGCCCAGTTTAACTTGGCTCCCATTGCTGTTGAATTTAACAGATGAGACAAGCAAGTTTAGTGGTGGAACAACTCCAAAGTCCAGAGCCTGATCAGACCAAACTCTAGTGTGTAGAGCAGGTTTTTATTCAGGTTACAATGATTTTTACTTGCTGATTACCCACTGTACTTCAAACCCACTGTATCATAAAAGAATGCCTAACACAGCTTTTTAGATGGTCATATTAACATACCATTGTCTGAAAGTGAACATTTGATGAGTATATCAACTACAAATTGTACCAGCTTTACAAAGGTATACATAAAGTCTTTTTTTTTTTTTAATTTCAAATCTTTTAGTCACGCATCTTATATTATCTTTTCTTATTCTTTTGGTTGATATCAAAGTGATAGTTTATCTTTTACTTTGAAGATTATAATATATATCAACATGGTCCCATAACAGGATTATGCAACCTCGATTTGATACAATTTTTACCTGTTTTTTTTTTTGAGTGGATACAATTTTTGCTCTCAGCAAACTGCATCCAACCATTGTATTATTTGGGAGGTTAGCCGTAGTGAGAATCACCAAACATTATTGTCGTCTTTTTGTAAAAAAGAAACAAAACAACTATATTTGATACATAAAAGAATGACCTTTGCATTATGTTGATGCATTACATTGTTTGATTGAGCTTGTTCACTCAGTTTTAGTAAGACAGAGAATAGCAGACAGCAAGTCTTATCCAATTAGATTGGATCTGCTACATAGATTGCAAGATGCCATTGTGCTCTCTTAATGATGAAATTCTTAGATAGGTTGTAAACTCAAAGGTTCCGTTCAATGACCTTATTTAGTGTTTTTTTTGGGGTCTTTTTCTGCCATTTTAGAAGACTTCAAATTGTCTGATCTACCCTCCCCTCTAGCTCCTCCATGTCCTTCTCTATACTTACCCATATCACCTCAAATGATTTTCAAATCTTCAATAGGTATTTTTGCCTTTCAAATCTTATCTATTTTTATATAACTACACATTCATCTCAACATCCTCATTTTCGTTACCTCAACTTTATGCTCAATGTTATCAAAATGTAAGAAATTTTGATAACTTAAAGTTCACTTGTTAGTTATAATATATATATATATAATCCATGGAATGAGCTTAATGCATTTTAAATTCCTTGCATTTTGAAATCCCATTGAAAAAGTCTCAAGGGCATTATGCAAACTGGAACTGATCCACTTTTCTTTCCTTTGACAAGGTTACCTCTTTTTCCCTTTTACTCTTAGCATCAGGAGCAAGATGTCACATCCAACTGCTCAATGCTCATTCATAAGTACAACTCCCATGAAATTGATTGCCAAGAAGAAGGTGTGCTTCAATGCCTGTTGAAACCCTTTCTTCTTCACATTCTGAGTTTCTATCACTCTTGCAGTACATGTTCTTTTAAAAGTTGAGTTTTTGAGTAGATATTGTAAACAATAACTTCCCTTCGTTCTTGAGAAAAAAATCTAGCTGTTTGGGGTTGCATTAGGATGTTGAGGCCTTAATAGCATTGCTGCTGCAGATAGTGTTCTGGTGTCATGATTAGGGATTGTAAAAACTTGATTGCCTTCTTCATTAAGCTGTGGTTACTTACCGTGGATAAAGGTTCTCTTGTTTTGTACTTGAGAAGTAGATATGAGACTTTGAAAATTGTTCCAAGATTGTTGCATGGTGTATGATTTTCTTACCTCATCTCTTCCATCCTCAAGCAGTTTTCTTGTTAAAATCGTTTGTCAGAACAACTTTTTATTTTTGATTAGCAGAAGAACTTTGTTTTAAAAGCAGCATTTTATTGATTTCAACTTCGCTAAGTAACTCTATTACAAGTGAGATATCCGCAGCATTCCATTAAGTATATTGTGAAGAAGCCTCATTGGACCTATATATGACTTGTCTGACTACCCTTTATTAAAATATTTTTGTTTTTTCCCCTTACAATGCTGCCAAAATTATATTGATGCTACATGGGCTTGGCTTCTCCCCTCTACCCTCCTTTTTCCCTTCACCATCATTGAATTAAATTTATTTATGTATTTATTAAGTAAAATTATAATAATATTCTTATAGAATGTTAAATTTGAACCATTGAAACTTTAATCCAATGGTAATGAGGGGAGAGAGAGATGAGAGAAGCCAATTGTGATGCTATACAAGTACATACATGTCCTAACATTATCTCCTAACCACCACCTACTATTTTCCGAAATAAAAGACAAACAATCCTAACCAACTTCTTTAGGCCTGTTCATTAACCTGATTTGATCATCCAGCTACTATTCTTACTCAAGATTAGTCATCCTTTCATATATTTAAGATCATCACCCAGGAATTGATGGGAAAGGAAAAACAGTTGAGGGTGTTTTCTTGAACCAAAGTGATCGTCTTAATGAGAGTTGATAGAGACTAAATAGTACAACTTGTCTATTTTTACATTCAGTACTATTGACTCTCTTTTGTTCTGCTCTGCCTGTTGATGTTGGATAAGTTTAACTTCTCTCAAATAGTTAACTTTTTGAAGAAAATTTTCCACATTATATGCTTATATATATATAATACTTATAAAAACTCTAAGAATTATAGTATTTAATATAGTTATGAAAAATATAATTCATTTCTCAATTTTCATGCAATACACCACCCATCGTAGTTGACATTATAGGTAGTGTTGGCGACTCTGAAAGGACTAACTATATAATATTTTGGCTGCTGAGAAAAGTCAGATTGAAGTGCTGCAAAATATAGAAACTGAGACAGACTCTCCAACAGCACAGCCAATTGATGGAGACCATTATATTATACAAGATTTTTTTTTTTTTTCAGTCTCATATTATTCAATATAAACCACTCTATAAGATCCTCGGAAGAGAATCAATTCTCATCTCAATAATTAAATTTCTGAGAAAGAGAGAGCTCTTTGACCAATTTGGGTGCCATCAAATTCTAATGGCCAATAAATCAAATCCATGCAAGCCATGTGCAATCTACAGAATGTCACAACGTGTTCTTTTCCAATCCAAATCAAGAGGCTGATAAAAATATTTGACGAAGGATGAACTGGGGAATCAAATCAGCACCAATTTAATGATTTTAATATAAAACGAGACTACTGAGAACAATATGTGCAAACATGGATGGCCCAAACGCTAACATCACGAGCACTTCGGTAAAATTAGGTAACCAGAGATAATGTCAAACCAACACATATTTCACTCAAACCGGCTATTAATTTATGTTAACGTGTCTTTTTATGATTAATCTTAATTCGATTCTATAAACTTGACTCTATCAAAGAATATTCCTTGTTAATATTAAGAATTGGCATCACACAGTTGGCTCAGCCTTGTTTAAATTTCATCATCTGCGGTGCAGACAAAACAGTTTAAAACAAGAAAAATGAGAACCCACTGCAAAACAACAAATCATACAAACCAAGGAGGAGGAATCTTTCTGTTTGCTGGGGTTTCCAGCTTTTCTCCTCTTCTTTCCATGAAATTATCATATGAGAAAAACAAAGCGCAAAATATTTTCATTTCTTCCTTTGCTGGAAATCCGCAGTAAAGGAAAAAGAAATTTTGAGTCCAACTCTTTGCTTGTTCATCTTGTTGGGCCTCTTTTGAACATGGTGCAGAGAAAGGTGACGAGCAAGGCCTTAATCCACGCCGATAATGGTGAATTTGATAAGCACTTGGAACACTTGCAGCAGTCTTCTCACCACCAGGATGGCGTAACCAGTGGAGATGAGACGAATAAGTCAAGATCAATTCAGCTTTCTGATTTAGAGGCTTTCCAATCATCACCTTCAAGACGAAGCTTTTCCAAACCCGGAAAGCCATCACCTTCTCATGTTCCAATCACTGCCAAATCTCAAAAAACGCAGCAGCCACTGATGAGAACAGACACGTCAATTCATTACATGAAGCCCACCATCAGTTCAGGTGCAAAGGAGCTCTTTCCAGCGAGCCTTTCCAACTCTCAAGCTGATTATGATTATAAGGATCAAAAGGAAAAGCTTTCTAGTAATTGGAAGGCCAGCGTTGTTCCTGGTAAGCAACCTGCAAAAACTTTGACAAGACCATCAAGTTTGAGGAACTCTCTGTCTCCTAAACGCCCCATGACTGATCCTCGTGTTACAGAGTCACAGAGAACTTCAGTTATGAAGGATTGTCCGTATACATTTTGCTCTCTTAATGGTCATTGCCATACTCCTTTGCCTCGAATGAAGAGCTTCTTGTCAGAAAGGAGAAGTCTTTTTAAGGCCGAGAAGACCATGAAGCAGGAAGAACTAAGCCTTCAAAGATTGAAGGTGCCCTTCATCACCAAAGTCTTTGACACTGAGCAGATTGTTATTGATGGCAATTCTGCAGGTGATGACGCAGAAGTAGATTTCTTTATTGAAATCTATGCTAACGTAAAGGAACATGAATCAAAACCAGCAGCAACAGGTCATGGACATGAAACAGGAAAACTAGAATCCTCTGAAGAGCTTCAGGATCAAGAAGTTATCAAGTTTATAATTGAGGAGAATAGCTTGGCTGCAAGAGGGGATAATGTCAAGCATATTACCACAAATATGTCTGACGAGTCCCCTGAGCTTGAATCAAATTCCAAGAAATATTTCAAGAAATACTATGATGATCCTGCAACTAAGGCAGATACCATGCTAAGCATTCATCAGGAACATAACGAAGAATCTGCAAGTGAAAGCCACCCACCTAGCTGTTCTCATAAAGGTACGAGTATGGAAATCTGCTACAAAGGGATTAGATTTAATGATTGGGAACAGTTGGGAAGCAGTGAAATAGATGATTGTGATTTTGAAGCTACTGATACAGAGTGGAAGGAGGAACAATTTTGCACGTCAAAACTTGAAGAGAGAGTTGTTTTAGCTGAAGAGGAAACAGAGTTCAGGCTTGAGTCTTCATCAGAGAGTTTACTAGAGGCATCTGTAAAATCAGATAAAATTGTTAGCACTAGAAGGCTCGAAAAGATAGAATACTTAGTTGAAGAAGCATCCCAAGAAGCCAAAGCAAAAGAATGTGCTTGTTTTGAAGCACAACCTCTTGACACTGTTTTGGACCAGGAGCCACAATTGAAAGCACAGAGACTCGTTCTTTAATAGAGGAAGCATTTCAGAATTTGACAAATGCAGAAGAAAATGGCGGAGAAAATGAAACATCTCTAGATAATGGTGTCAGCTGTGTCGCAAATGTACTTGATGTTGGACAGAAGCCTATATTTGTAAAAGATAGTACACCTATGTCACTGAGTGACCAAATCTATAATGCTTCTGAAGAAGAACGTAAGCTAAATCATGTTGGAAAAGCAATAGGCAAAGGAAGCAAGAATCCGGAGATGAAAAATACGGAAATCTATCAAGATTTTGCCAAACAAGTTGAGAGTAGTGATTATCGAAGGCAAGGTCATGAGATAAGTTAGTTACATAAGATTGATGATACCGATGAAGGCAAAGACTCAAGTCCAGAGACTGATGATGGAAGCACTAGCCAAGCGACACATATTCTAATGAAAGATGTGCAAAGTGAAAATATCTTTACTGCTCAAGACAAGGAAATGTTGGAAGCAATTGAGAGTGGAGCTAATAAGTTGCAGGGCACAAGCTGCACGGGCACTGAAGAGGAGAAAAGAAGCAAGAATTGGAGAGGAGAAATGAAGCACAAGATACCTGTCAAGGATGATGAGCAACTGAGGAAGTTCGACCAACGAATGCCAAACTTCTTGCCCTTGATCCCAAATCCAGAACGAGAAAAGGTTATTCTCAAACATCAGATAATGGATGAAAGAAAAATTGCAGAGCAATGGATGCTTGACCATGCACTTAGGCAAGCAGTCACCAAACTTGCTCCGGTGAGGAAAAGTAAGGTGGCACTGCTGGTTGAAGCGTTTGAAGCAGTAATGCCAATTACCCAAAAGGAAAAACCATTGAAAAAAGGTTCAGCCTTTGCTCATGGAAGAACTATCCATGCTTGAAACCAGTGGGTGTTTCTGAGGTAAAGACAGATACATTTTCTCATTCTAATCTTTTGCTAAACAAAAAGAATAAAATAACTGTTTGATGCATTTAGTAACTGACTCTCCAATATAAACTTAACCTCACATATTCTTACTGATTTAAATGATTTCCTTGATTATTAGCACTGGGTGCTAGTTCCAATTTTGAAAGAGGCAAGCTTTCATTGTAAAGCTCTTCGGCAAAACTATTTTCCGTCTGCAGTAGAATGGACAGTAGAGATTGAACAAGCAGCAGGTGTGAAAGGAACAAGCCTCCACTGATTTGAAATCATTCAACAGGGTACACAAACTGGAAGTTTGAAGGCAATACCTGTTCAGCGAAGCCCCTGCGTTAATATGGCAATGAGGTCCCTAGCCCCTTTCAATTCCCCTAGCTTCACTTTGTTCTATTCTTCAATATGTTTTTCAATCTATTCTTTTATTTTATATTTTTCGATCTTTGATCACCCACTAATGTTTTTGGTCCAAAAAAAATACTCGTTAAATCAAATGCAACTCCCAGACGGGGGAATTTTTTTTTTTTTGGTAATTTATAGTTGCTATTTATCTCTAATTTTAAGTTGGCCAAAAAAATTTTATCTCTAATTTTAAATTGGCCAAAAAATTCGTCTCGTTTAAGTATTCCTTATTTGCCAAATTTCTTTGGCATGTGCGCAGTTCAGTCAAAATTTTATTTGTAATAACTATGCATCATACCAATTGATGAAAAACTCCTATCATTTTCTTCCATAGTCAAATTTTCTTTATTGTTCCTTTGGAGTAACAAGTTAGATATAGTTTTTTTTTCCCCTACGGTAACAATAAATTAACAACCTCATAAAAAAAAACGATAAATTAACAAAAACTTCTGTCCAAAAATAAAAGACATACAATAAATTAACAAACTGTTAGTTGAGATAGTAAACGGTCTCACCCCCATAAAGAAGAAAGCAATAAATTCATTTATTGAAAAGATTTTACCCTTAACCCTCTCAACCAACAAAATTTAATCTCAAGCCAAATTGACTTAAAGATACTTTAAGTTATACAAAAAAAAAATACAAAAACCATTAATGTTAGAACTTCGAGAGAGAAAAAACTTCTGCTGAGAAAAAAAAAAACTCTTGAAACTTTAATTTTTATAGGAATAATCCTCTAAATTTTAAAAGAAACCTCGCATCATGTTTTATTCCATAAGCGAGATAGCAAACAATTTAAAATTAGAGAAACTTTATTTGCTTAAAATTTAAAGAGAAGTTTATATTTATATGCTCATCATTGAAAAATTGGAAAAGTAGTGTATAATTTTTCCATAAAGGTTGAAGAAATTGCTTGTATTTCTCCTTAATTTTCCTTCGCACGCACAATTGAGACTCCATTGCAAAGTACCAAGTAATGTACTACTTTCAGTCCTTAATATAAGAGCTAATTTGATTTCTAATTTGGTCTTAAATAAAACTCTAATCTACTTTGTTTCCAATATTTATCTATTTTACATTCGAGTAATTCCTATAGCAGTTGCATGTGTTAAGAAATTAGCATCAATAAGTAAGTCAAACATACAAAATTAATAAGAGTATTTTAGGGATATATTTACTACAAATAATTAACTTAACTAACTTCCTTCATTTTTCCAAATTAGTCAACTAGATTTTATATTAAAAACCAGAAGTAGTACAAGATTTATTGTCAATGTGGAATAACTCAGATTTATAAGAATATGAGATAAATATATGAAAAAAATTTTATCTCAACTTTTGTAATATACTTGTAAGTAATTTCAATAATAAACGTCCGATTAGCATATGAGCCTCTCATATCTGCAACTGAATTGATATTTAGCCATTTGCAACTCATCTTTCAGCAAGATTTTATAGAACTTAAACTGTCATTAAATTAATCTTCTGGAATTTTGCAATTTCCACAATCCTTTTTTGTCATTTGCCAAAATATTATAGATATCCATCCGTGATAGACAAAATATTTGTTACAGAGTTCACTCGATATATTGAATTATTGATATATCGATGATTCATTCTTGGGGCTGGGATTTTCTTAAAGCATGCAAATGCTCCCTAACATTCGGCTTATAGGACAACACAATTCTCCAAATTCTTAGAAAAATAACGGATGCACATTCCATCCTCATCGTCTCTGCTTTGGGTCTTGGGTATCACAAACAGGCGCACAAGACCACAACACCAGAAGCTTTTTCATGGCTATAATAACTCCAAATCACAATATAATCCCTATTCCTAATGCAAGAAAGTTATACGGCTTTAAAGCATGGGCAAGTAATTAAAACAAACATACAGACATAATAAGTATACTTTTCTAAGTTATCAATACAAGTACAACACAAACATCCTCCATCACACTCCGCTGAACATAAAAGGAAAGAATAGAGCAGACTAAAAATTGTACTTTAACAAGGATCATAGGTCATGTAAAGACGTTCCTCGCATAAATTATTCCTGATAACTGGAAGGGACAATATAGCTTTAGAAGAAAATAACCTACTAATAAAGAAGAGTTTACTTACACGTATTGCTAGTCCAAATAAAGTTTTCAATCATTGTTATAACGCACATTATAGTGACGCGCCAGACATTGGGCAGTTCCGTCCATAACGCTCTCTATCATCCTGTACTTCTTATAATGCCCTTTAAGCGTGTCTTCCTGGTGCTTTGCAAGCTTTTCCTCTTCTTGTAGTTGTACCTGCAAAAAAGAACAAGTTTAAGAATAAGCTAACCCATAAGAGTATTATAAACCTATTGGCAATCTTAAAAAGCTAAAAGCCAGCAAGATAAGACGGTCTTCCAAATGAATGGACATATTTTCAAAAGAGCGATAACCAATGTGACATGTTATTTATCTTTGGACACTTATCTATTTCTTACACTCTAAACACAAGCTTCTTCCGAACGTGCATGCTCTTCTCAGTCATATTCCTCATTGAAAGAGAAGAAACAACACCTCGGCATCATATGATTTAGAAGAAAAGTATCCTTTACTGAACCCCAATAGTCAACCCAGAAAACAAAGCAGCTAAAGCAAACACTGAATGTTAAAAATAAAATATAGTGATAACGAAGTTGCATGAGGGGGGGAAAAAATTTATCCGTTTCCTTGTTTACCTCAGGTAATATGATTCTGCGTGGTTAAAATAATATACTAGGTAATCAAACAAGTAAAGCAGTAATCCCTTCCAGCAAATTCTCAAAGAACAAATGCAACAAGGTTGAAGGCACCTCTTTGAGGTTAAAATATGTTATTCATTACATGAGAATTGGGGGATAACCGGGGAGTTGTTAGGAACTTGGAGCTGGTTAAGTAAATTGGAAGGAGACCATCCAACCTCCGTTAGTACAAATAGGGGAAGGTTAGACATGTGACGGATGAAAATTAAGCAGTATTTTGATATTCTGTTTTCTTGAGGCTAGCCATGGATAATCATCCCTGAATTTTTACCGTTTCTTATTTTGAAACAGAAACCTAAAATCAGTATGTTTAAAGTCTATGGTGGCAGCCCATAAGAATCACATCTTATCTTATACCATCAACACTAGCAGCTCTCACTATCACTAGTCACACTACTGAAAATAATTCCTGAACCTGCTTCATTGGAACAAAAATAATGAAATAAATTCACCAATTTAAGGATAATTATTAAAAAGGAAAAGTTTAGGGATAAAACCAATCTTTGAAAGTCAATGATAAAAGTGAATTTAAGTAATAACCGAATAAAAAATTGCCCTTCCTCTGACAATTGCAGCAACTGGCAGGTTAGTAATAAAAATAACAAGATTGACTAAAATTCAATTGATTACTAAAATAAATACATAATAAGTACAAGAGGGAAAACTTACTTGGTGCAAGTAAGCAGCTTCAGCAGCATGTTTGCGAGTAAGCTCCTTCAGTTCCTCTGCCACCTCAAAGTCAGGATCACCTGGCTCCAACCAACGACAGGTTAACTTTCTACGAGGATTTTTAGGGCGATCATCAAACATTTCTGCTTTTGCAGGAAATGCCCTTACAGGCCTTGGTTTCCCACATATCATGAAAGGATATTGCTCAATCATTGATATAACTTCCTTGGCCTTCTTTTCATTATCCAATTCTATTAGTGCACACTGTGGCACATTCATTGGTTCAAGGTAGTTGGGAATGAGCTTGACATTTTTTACATTTGCAAACTGATCAAAAGCAGTTCTCAACACGGATTCAGTGACCGAAGGAGAAAGGTTGTCAAGGTACATTGTTCGTTTGACCTTCTTTTCAAATGCAGCATAGTCATCCTCTGCTGTAGATCCCATGTAATACAGTGACCAAACCTGACAATTAAACAGAATGACCAAGTTAATAATTAGGGCAAATACTAACTTAAAAACTAGATGAAAATAGAATAAGTTCTGGAGCGCAACAAAATGACCTCCCCCTCAGTAGCATAGGTCACTCGTCCATAAGCAAGCCATTAAAAATATAAGCCACATACCAGATATAGGAGAACTTAAATGTCTTTCATAAGCAAAAATAGTGGAGACATGATAATATGGAATTTTAATTACCTTAATTTAAACTATGGAAATCCTCTAAAACAGAAAATATAAAAGACAAGCATTTATTGTTATATCACAACTGAGCAAAGGATGAAAAGATGAAACACCAATAGTCCGAAACTAGCTCTTTCAACCAACCCAAGTCACCCAACGATTCCAATGTAGAAAATTCACATTGATTTTCTGCATTCCTATAATAAAAAAATATATACGTATCTAAAATATACTCTTCTGGTCCTATTTATAAGGCAGAGAAAAGATATTTTTTTGTCCTATTTATTGGGCACTGAGAAAACTTTTTATATGAATGTACAATTTTACCCTTCATTTATTATTGTATGGACTTTATTTATGTAAAGTATAATGTATATTAAATAGGGATAAAATTAAAAAGTTGTTGAATTTTAAATGAGTTAATGAGGTTTAAGATTCTTCTTGATCTATGTAAAACATGTTAGAAGTGATCTATAAATAGGACCAGAGGAGTACCAATTACCAAATAGATGATGTCGTATGTGTCTTATTTCTATCATTTGCTCAATTGACAGGGTTACAAGTAAATTTTAATGATACACTAAATGGAGATAGTCATTGGAACATGGTCCTTCCTAATAAGTGTTGGCTTTCCCATGACAAACAATAAGAATATTACAGACATGGCTGAAGAACCCCCCGGGAAGGGGGCGAGTTCAAAACACGGGAGACATGGATGTTGGTAGCTGGAATTTACTAAGTTACCACTGACTCATCGGATTCACAATAACTGAATGACATTGATGACCAACCCAGTCACTACCAACATTATATATATATATATATATATATATCCTTTACCCAATTGAATTTAGTTCCATTTTTAGCTAGGTCCAAATTAGAAACCACAGCTTACTTGCTGATACATTCATACAATCTATTCTGAGAAATGAAGATGACACATACTATACTATATTATTTCCTTCCTAACCACAGTCCTGGGGCTTTA